AAGAATTGTCTCGTTTTTTGTTTTGGATCCTCTAGTAGTTAGGTCCCACACCAACAGTATTTACAACCAGTCTAACCTAACCCAATCTAATCTAATGATATATCAAGTTTTGACAATTCAAAAAGAGCTTTGTTGAAAAGAGAAAAAGACCTGGGGGAAGACATAATACCTACACTAACACCAGAAGCTAATGTGAACAGGGTAACATCAGCAGCATATGGGAAGTTAGCAAACACAAGATCATTTAAGAATCTAAACATGGTGGCTTTCAAGTCCATACACGCTGCCAATGTGTGACCATTACTTGAGTATGCAGCTCCAGCACGGAACCCACATCTTGTCAAGCATAAACAGAAACATGAGAAGTTCAGAGGTTTAACACTAGTGTCACAACTGAGAGGGCTCGTGTATGAGGACAGATTGAGAGAACTCTCCCTCACAACCTTAGAGGGGATATGATAACTATGTACAAGATCATGAGGGGAAAATAAAGTGGATAAAGAAAGCCTATTAAAATTAAAAAGAGGTAGGACAAGGGGTCATCAGGGGAAGCTGGATATGCAGTCAAGTTGAAGTAAGGAATTTCATTCCCTATAAGGGTGGTAGGCAAGTGGAATGTATTGAAGGATTAGGTTGTTGAAACCAATTCCATCCACAGCATTAAAAAGAAATATGATGAAAACATTAATTATAACACTTTGATGCGCACGGTGATATGGACTTTATGGACCCCCCCTCATGCGCCCGGCGTTTTCGGGTGACCAAGCGGCAACACTGAAAAGTGCATACTCTTTTCGCTGTCCTGACCTTAATTTTCGATGTACTGATTTAATTTTTGTACCAAAGTGTTCGCAATAGAATGATCTATAAGAACATATAAGAACATATGTATATGTCACCAAAGCATGAGTTAAATCACACAAAAAACTAAAGAACTACATCGATCACTAGCCGTGAGCTCCAAACAGCGACGAAATGTTCCATTCTTTTCAGGGTTGTCAACTCCACACTTGTCCTACAGCGTTAAATTTGGTATCACTGTGATCGCAATTAAATTCCCTACACGGACATATGCATATAAATGTAGAATCATGATCGCGGCCCACACCAAGAGTGTGTGAAGTGGGCGATTACCCTCATTGTGTCAACAATTCAATAGTCTTTCCACTAAGTTACAATACAATGCCGTTCTCCCAAATAGGCCATGTGCCTATTAGAGAAAACGGAAATTTAATGGCAAACATTTTCATACTAACCCCAAGTCGATCGAATAAGAATTGGATTTTATACAAATATTTTTAAATCGCGCGTAAATTTACGACTCTGCTGAGGAACCGATAGAAATAAACACGTCATATATTTACGACCCGGCTGCATGAAAGTGTTTATTAATAATGAGAAAGTAATAAATGGCACAGGTATATACAGATAGAAGGCGGAGAATAAAGGGTCCGGGTAGTACAGGTCTCCTGGTAGTACGTTAAAGGGTCCGGGTAGTACAGGTCTCCTGGTAGTACGTTAAAGGGTCCAGGTAGTACAGGTCCCCTGGTAGTACGTTAAAGGGTCCAGGTAGTTCAGGTCCCCTGGTAGTACGTTAAAGGGTCCAGGTAGTTCAGGTCCCCTGGTAGTACGTTAAAGGGTCCAGGTAGTACAGGTCCCCTGGTAGTACGTTAAAAGGTCCAGGTAGTTCAGGTCCCCTGGTAGTACGTTAGAGGGTCCAGGTAGTACAGGTCTCCTGGTAGTACGTTAAAGGGTCCATGTAGTTCAGGTCCCCTGGTAGTACGTTAAAGGGTCCAGGTAGTACAGGTCCCTTGGTAGTACGTTAAAGGGTCCAGGTAGTTCAGGTCCCCTGGTAGTACGTTAAAGGGTCCGGGTAGTACAGGTCCCCTGGTAGTACGTTAAAGGGTCCAGGTAGTTCAGGTCCCCTGGTAGTACGTTAAAGGGTCCGGGTAGTGTAGGTCCCCTGGTAGTACATCAAAGGGTCCGGGTAGTACAGGTCCCCTGGTAGTACGTTAAAGGGTCCAGGTAGTTCAGGTCCCTTGTAGTACGTTAAAGGGTCCGGGTAGTACAGGTCCCTTGTAGTACATTAAAGGGTCCGGGTAGTACAGGTCCCCTGGTAGTACATTAAAGGGTCCAGGTAGTTCAGGTCCCCTGGTAGTACGTTAAAGGGTCCGGGTAGTGTAGGTCCCCTGGTAGTACATTAAAGGGTCCGGGTAGTTCAGGTCCCCTGGTAGTACGTTAAAGGGTCCAGGTAGTACAGGTCCCTTGTAGTACGTTAAAGAGTCCGGGTAGTACAGGTCCCTTGTAGTACATTAAAGGGTCCGGGTAGTACAGGTCCCCTGGTAGTACGTTAAAGGGTCCGGGTAGTACAGGTCCCCTGGTAGTATATTAAAAGGTCCCAGTAGTACAGGTCCCCCAGGTAGTACATTAAAAGGTCCCAGTAGTACAGGTCCCCTGGTAGTACATTAAAAGGTCCCAGTAGTACAGGTCCCCTGGTAGTACATTAAAAGGTCCCAGTAGTACAGGTCCCCTGGTAGTATATTAAAAGGTCCCAGTAGTACAGGTCCCCTGGTAGTACATTAAAAGGTCCCAGTAGTACAGGTCCCCTGGTAGTATATTAAAAGGTCCCAGTAGTACAGGTCCCCTGGTAGTACATTAAAAGGTCCCAGTAGTACAGGTCCCCTGGTAGTACATTAAAAGGTCCCAGTAGTACAGGTCCCCTAGTAGTATATTAAAAGGTCCCAGTGGTACAGTCAGGTTTGTTCTCAACTCACAATTGAGAGTTCCGGGTTCAAATCCCAGGGAGGACAGAAATGGTAGAGCACATTTCTTATCACCTAATGCCCTGGTTCACCTAGCAGTAAGTACATACCCAGAAGTTAGTCAGCTTGCTGTGGGATTGCATCCTGGGTGGAGTCAGTAATTTAATCTTGAGTGAGGGGGGGGGTAACCTTGATATAAGCCTTATGTGTATGAATACACTCTGGCTGCCTGTCCCCCAACACAATAAATTAAATTAATAAACAGCTAGCTCACACTCCCCCCATGTCCAACAACTTTGGCTGGACGGTAGAGTGACGGTCTTGCTTCATGCAGGTCGGTGTTCAATCCCCAACTGTCGAAGTGGTTAGGCATCATTCCTTTATCCAGTCCCATATCCTTAGCCTGACCCCTTCCAAGTCACTAAGATCTATAGTAAAGTGTAAAATAAAAGTGATATTGAGACCTTATAAACAGATCTGCATGAACTCCATATATGGTAAGAATGGTTGAACCCTTGTTAGAATCTGACCAGATTGTCAACTGAGTTAACTCATTTGTTGCATTTCCACAATGGTCGCCCGAGTTAAAATAGGTGAACGACCCAAGAATATTGTTAAAAACATTGTGATAACTTATTAAACCAAAAATCCAAAGTTTTTTAATGTTAGGTCAGACAGGTCAGATCAGGCAAGGTCAGTGGTTGACCAATGCACCATGGGGACTTCATATCTATGGGGAAATTTTTTAATGTTAAAATCGGCGTTCACCAACTTTAACTTGGGCGACCATTGTGGAAATGCATGAAATGCAACACATGGGTTGACCCAATTTCTACTTGGGACAGATTTCATTATGGTTCAGAACAAGATGACTGGCAAATGCTCTTAAATGTCGGTAAATGCAAAAGCTTACATCTGGGGCATAACAATCCACGTCACAACCACCAAACTGACAACACTACCTTACAGCAGATAGTTAAAGAAAAGGACCTTGGAATAAGAATCCATCATTCACTAAAAGTTGCACAAGTGGCTCCCACTTGGAAGTAAAAAAACCAAGCCAAACCCCTAGGAATAATCAAGCGTACCTTTACTCTCGAGGAAAAGAAAGTAGTTTTTCAATTGTACAAGTCTCTGGTGCGCCCCCACCTGGATTATTGCATCCAGGCATGGAGACCTCATCTTCAGAAAGACATAGCTGCTCTGGAAAAGGTGTAATGCCGAGCAACAAAAATCATACCAGAGCTTAGTCATTTCTCGTACCAGGAACGGTTGAGGGCCACAGGGCTAACAACACTGCAGACCAGGCATGACAGGGAGGACCTCATAGAAACCTTCAATATACTAAACAATTTGGACAATGTCGATCTGGACACTTTCTTCAAAAGGTCAGGTGTAACACGAACAAGGAGCAATGGATTCAAGCTCAACAAGCCACAATGTAGGATAGAAAACAAGAGATGCTTTTTCACCCATAGGGTTGTAAACCCGTGGAACTGCCTACCCGCTGAAGCCATAAACACCAAATTTCTGCTAGGTTTTAAAAGATAGAAAAGATCAAGGCAAATAGGGGGGTACCTTTGACAAGCCTCCAGGTTCCTGTCCTCGTCGAAGCCACTAGTATTAGTGGTCCTCAGGTAAATCAGGTTAAAAAGGGAGTGTTATATAGTCCCCCGAAAACGCCCCTCGTTTCACTGCCCGAAACGCTGTGCGTACTAGTGGCTTTACAAGACTGTAATTACCATATTATGTATCCTCACATTCCCAATGTACCTTCTTGTATATGCATAAATAAATAAATAAATAAATAAATAGTGGCAATAACTCTCCCATAGGTAAGCATGATGCACAACTTTATGCCCGAAACGCTTTGCGTAATAGTGGCTTTAGGCATTGTATGTACTAGGTCTACCTATAAGTCAACCAATCTTTGTAAAAATTTATTGTATGTATGTACCTTACCTAAATAAAAATTATTATTATTATTATTATTATTATTATAACTGTGCAGTAGGCGTGCATAGTGCTCATGACAGCACCGCTTCTCCCCTATAACTGGGCCTACCCACTACGCTACATTCACTCACAGAGAAGCAAACAAATAATAATGATTATAATAATGGTGAGTAAATGTTGTGTGGAGGCGGCGTGTGGGAAGCCCCGGGCCACCTCACTCTCTCTCAACACCATACACACAGTAACGCATATGTAAATATAGGATACTATAGGAGTGATGACCTCGTGTTGACAGATGTTGTCATATGCTCGGTGGATGTCAGTGAGAGAGGTGAGAGAGGTGGGGTCAGTGAGAGAAGTAGGGAGAGCACCGGCCTCCATCTTCACTCTCCCGCGGCTGTCACTACTATGACCGCCCTCTACACCATTCTCTCACAACCATCTTACTCATCCCTGTATATATCAACTCATTCACACCTTTTACAACTCGCTAATATATTAAACAACATTACTGTGGTTTTTTAATTTTTGTTGTTATTTTGTTGACGTGTACAAACGTTTGTCCGGACTCTGGCTTTGGCTTCTACTTGACTAAACCGAACTTTTTTGCGTAACTTTACTTTAGATTAAGATAAATTAATAAAAAAAAATATATATAGTTTTTTAATTTAAATAGTGTATAAGTTGAAGAGTTTAGGGTTGTGAGTGGGGAAGGAGGAGTGAGATCGAGGAGAGGAGCCGGAGGCAGTAGAGGTGTCGAGACATGGCGACCAGTTGACCATCAGCTGATGACAGCTTCCAACACCAGTCCTTGACGGCCCTCTCCTGCCCCTCGCATCTGTCGCTACACCTGTCGCTACACCTGTCGCTACACCTGTCGCTACACCTGCCGCTATACCTGTCGTTACACCGGCCGCTACACCATGTCCACCACACTACTCATCCCTCAGGATGGAGGACAAGCAGAGAAGGGAGGGATTGTCAACGACTTCATGTATGGGTCCAATGTGGCCACCAGTCACATCTACATACGCATGGGTACCACTTTCACTAATATTATCTTACGTTTTGATCAAATCAAAGTCAAGATAAAAGTGTATTAACCACGTGCTAGTTGTGATGGTAGAGTATGAGAGGTTGAGCGTGACCTTGGGACAACTTTGCTCACTTGTATAACATTTCTCATCTGAAGAAAATGGCCACAATATAATTTCTCATTCCTGTTCTCTTAGTTTGACTCAGTGAAATGCACTGTTTCCATATTTATATGCTTCCACTACTGTAATGTTAAACTATTTTTAAAGTAAACTTGCACTTCAGAGCCATAAATTGGGATTAGTTGTATATTAGACTACCTTGATTGCTTCCAAACTTAATATAATTTTAATATTTCATATATAATATATACAAAGAATCAGATTGCAGTTATTAGTAGGCATATTATTTGTACATTTTATTAAGCCACTAATTATGCACATCATTTCAGGTGTAACTTAAAATAATTGGTTACCAATTATGCACACCTTACTGCATTTGGTGCCCTTTATCTCTTCCCAGATTGGTTTATTGCCCAAATAGCTTAGACTGGGGGTGTGGGGTCTGTATAGCATTAATATTATCCCATTAGCACTTTTTGTCCCCACATTCACTTGTGTTACCTTGAGGTGCTTCCGGGGCTTAGCGTCCCCGCGGCCCGGTCGTCGACCAGGCCTCCTGGTTGCCGGACTGATCTACTAGGCTGTTGGACGCGGCTGCTCGCAGCCTGACATATGAGTCACAGCCTGGTTGATCAGGTATCCTTTGGAGGTGCTTATCCAGTGTTCATATGGTTTCTGTTACCAGCGAGATATTGCCTGATGGGCCTGACGGCTGAGTGGACAGTGCTCAGGGTTCGTTGTTCTAAGGGTCTGGGTTCGATTCCCGGCAGAGGCAGAAACAAATGGGCAGAGTTTCTTTCACCCTGATGCTCCTGTTCACCTAGCAGTAAATAAATACCTGGGAGTTAGACAGCTGCTACGGTCTGCTTCCTGGGGATGTGTGTGTGTGTGTAAAAATTAGGGTTAAAGACTTGCCCAAAAAGTTATGCGTGCCAGTGGCTGTACAAGAATGTAAGAACTTGTGTATACAGTATATATATATATATATATATATATATATATATATATATATATATATATATATATATATATATATATATATATATATATATATATATATATATATATATATATATAAATTCAGTCTGTTTTTTCAGTCGTCATATATAAATGAATAAATAAAATAAATTGCACTGCATCTCAAAGTCTCATTCACATTGATAGCAACTTGACCTTCTTTTTCTATCTCTTATATCAACATGAGAGCTTATAGGCCTTGACCTGATACTCGACCAGTAGGTCCCTAAGAGTCAATATTCAACCATGTTTCAGTGAGTGCTATTATGGCTAATTTCTTAGCAAGAGCTATTGCTGTCATCTGTCTAGTTACACAAATTTCTGGACTTGGTATAATATACCTGCACAGTAGATCCTGTGAGATGGGCTTTTAGATGAACTTAAACATAGTTTTTTCCTCTGCATATAGAATAGGATAGCAGTACATTGCTGTGTATACAGAATATACACAGCAATGCCCTGCTGTGTATATAGAATATACACAGCAATGCCCTGCTGTGTATACAGAATATACACAGCAATGCCCTGCTGTGTATACAGAATATACACAACAATGCCCTGCTGTGTATATAGAATATACACAGCAATGCCCTGCTGTGTATACAGAATATACACAGCAATGCCCTGCTGTATATACAGAATATACACAACAATGCCCTGCTGTGTATACAGAATATACATGCTTGTGTATATTGCTATATGTACAGAATATACATGCTTGTTAATAAAAAAAAGGCACCTTTCCTGTGCATTCTTTTTAAATTTTGATTACTTTTACTGAAACAATATTGTTCATTTTAATAACCTGTGTTATCCTCCTTTTGTTATATTTTTTCCCCATTATTTGCACCCATACCACTATCTACTAACTAGTTGGAGATGTAGTTTCCTCCAATAAGTCTACAGAAACTGTTACCTCTGCCATTGAAAGATGAATCCATCCCTTATATACATGGTATTGTTACCAATGTAAGAGTATCACATATCCATGAATAGTATTACAATACAGTACATTATTTTTAAGTCATCAATTTACACAGTGCTTGCAACATCTACTCAATGCAGACAAAATTTTCTCCTATGCAAAATCAAGATAAAAAACCACATCTAGTATCGGGCCCCTGCGAAAGGGAGATGGAACTTTCACCGATGACAACAAAGAAATGAGCGAGCTACTGAGGACGCAGTACGACTCTGTTTTCAGCGAACCATTAAACACACTAAAGATTGATAACCCAAATGAATTTTTCATGGATACGATACCAACATCAAATCATATATCAGACGTCACCCTATCCCCACTGGATTTTGAAGAAGCCATAAACAGTATGCCTATGAACTCTGCACCAGGCCCGGATTCTTGGAACTCCATATTCATAAAGAACTGTAAAAAAACACTATCGCAGGCCCTCCACATTCTGTGGAGAGACAGCCTAGATACTGGCGTTATTCCTGATATACTAAAAGCAGCAGAGATAGCACCACTTCATAAAGGAGGAAATAAGGCAGAGGCAAAAAATTACAGACCGATAGCACTAACATCGCACATCATAAAAATTTTTGAGAGAGTGCTAAGAAGTAAAATCACAAAATACATGGAATCACAGCAACTCATAACCCCGGACAACATGGTTTCAGAACAGGGCGCTCTTGCCTGTCGCAGTTGCTGGACCACTATGATATGGCATTAGATGCTATGGAAGACAAACAAAACGCGGATGTAATTTACACAGATTTCGCAAAAGCTTTTGATAAATGTGACCATGGTGTTATTGCACATAAAATGCGTTCAAAAGGAATTACCGGAAAAATAGGCAGATGGATCTACAATTTCCTGACCAACAGAACCCAATGTGTAATAGTCAACAAAATAAAATCCAGCCCATCAACCGTGAAGAGCTCAGTCCCCCAGGGTACTGTGCTTGCTCCAGTACTTTTTCTCATCCTCATTTCGGACATAGACAAGAACACAACCTATAGCACTGTATCATCCTTTGTAGATGACACTAGGATCTTCATGAGAGTAGGCAACATAGAGGACACGGCGAATCTCCAGTCAGATGTAGATCAGGTCTTTCTATGGGCTACAGAAAATAATATGGTGTTTAACGAAGATAAGTTCCAGCTCATGCGCTATGGAAAAAATGAAAATATAAAAACGGAAACCACGTACAAAACTCAGGCAAATCATAACATAGAACGAAAAGGCAATGTAAAGGATCTGGGTGTACTCATGTCGGAAGACCTTACCTTTAAAGAACACAATAAAGTAGCCGTCACAACTGCAAGAAAAATGACAGGTTGGATAACAAGAACTTTTCACACTAGAGATGCTATACCGATGATGATACTTTTCAAAACGCTTGTGCTCTCTAGAGTGGAGTACTGCTGCACAATGACAGCACCTTTCAAAGCTGGAGAAATTGCTGACCTGGAGAGCGTGCAGAGATCCTTTACTGCTAGAATCCACTCAGTAAAACATCTAAACTATTGGGACCGACTAAAGAGCCTAAAACTGAACTCCCTTGAGCGCAGGCGGGAGAGGTACATAATAATTTACACGTAGAAAATATTAGAGGGGCTGGTCCCAAACCTGAACACAGAAATAACATCACATGAGACCAGAAGACATGGCAGGATGTGCAGAATACCCCCGTTGAAAAGCAGAGGTGCAACAGGTACTCTGAGAGAGAACTCTATCAACATCAGAGGCCTGAGACTGTTCAACACGCTTCCACTACACATAAGGGGCATAACTGGCCGACCCCTCACAGTGTTCAAGAGAGAACTGGATAAGCACCTCCAAAGGATACCTGATCAACCAGGCTGTGACTCATACGTCAGGCTGCGAGCAGCCGCGTCCAACAGCCTGGTTGATCAGTCCAGCAACCAGGAGGCCTGGTCGACGACCGGGCCGCGGGGGCGCTGAGCCCCGGAAGCTCCTCAAGGTAACCTCAAGGACTCTCAGCCTTGGCAGAACACTGCAGATGACCTGGACTCCTTCCTTATTCCTAATTTTGTTTAGTGCTATATTATTTTTATCCTACTCTGCTCCTACCTTGGCAAATATCATTTTCACATGCTGTACTGAGACAGTTACTGGGCTTGATTCCATTGCCTATAATAATAATAATAATAATAATAATAATTCATTGCACAGGGGGACTGGCAGCTAGTGTATTCACCTAGAATTCACCTAGTTGTGTTTGCGGGGGTTGAGCTGTGCTCTTTCGGCCCCCCTCTCAACTGTCAATCAACTGTTTACTACTATTTTTTTCTCTCTCTCTCCACACCACACACACACACCCCAGAAAGCAGCCCGTGACAGCTGACTAACTCCAAGGTACCTATTTACTGCTAGGTAACAGGGGCATTCAGGGTGAAAGAAACTTTGCCCATTTGTTTCTGCCTAGTGCGGGAATCGAACCCGCGCCACAGAATTATGAGTCCTGTGCGCTATCCACCAGGCTACCAGGCCTGGTGGGTACCAGTGTATATTAGTGTACATGTTAGGTTTATATCAAGGTCCCCACAAGGTCAAATTACTCACCCTTTTCAGGATACAACCCCACAGCAAGCTGGGTACTTACTTACAGCTTGAACAGGTGCATTAAGTGATAGGAAATTTGACTTACTATTTCTGTCCTGCCCGGGATTCTGACCTGGAATAACCCAGCTTGATTGTGAGCTGAGAGCGAACTTGATTATAATACTGAGACCCTGACAATATATTGCTCATTCTGATGCAATATATTGTCATGATTGATCAAGCTGGACACACCAGACATGACTGATCAAGCTAGACACACTAGCAGATAATTAAAAAATTGGGCAGAGAAATTATTCAGAAGACAAGTAATTAAT